CTTTACTCTGTTATGAAGTTGTGTGGTGTGGGGACAGAGAGGACCCAAAAGCAGCACTCTGAGGGAAAGAGGTTTATTGAGGGATAAAGGGGTAGAGGGACTGGAGTGGAGGGAGAGGTGGATGTCGGGGAAACACAGGCACGGGGAACCGGGAAGACTGGGGGCCAGGGAGCCGGGGAACACTGGGACAGAGGAAGCGAGGAGCGGTGGGAGAACAGGGAGGACACCGTGGGGGAAGTCCGAGGAGGAGAGGGCCGGTGGATGAGCGCAGCCGACTGAACGGAGGTCGAGGGTGAGTGTACCTGGGAGGGAAACGGACAGAGAGACAGGGTTAGAGGTGACGGCGACAAAGCACAGGAAAAATGTGAAAAAAACAAGAAACATGAAAGCCTGAACACAGAGGTGGCACCGGGTATGGAGCAACGACGATCAAGCGAGGATGGTGTGGAAAACCGGGGTTGAAATACAGGCAGGCATGAGGTGATTACTGGCAGGTGTGGCAGGCTGACGAGGTGGCTGATGAGATGCAGGTGCAGGTAGTTGGCTGGGCTCAGGAGCAAAGGGGGAAGGGGGGGAGAGCACACAGGGGAGAAAACACAGGGAGGCAGGCAGGGAACAGAAAACCAAGGAAAAAGCAGAATAACTGATAAAAAGGAGAAAAAACCAGGACACTCACCATCAGCCGGGCTGCCACCACAACATACTCGTTCCCTCCAGTTTCTTTGCTTTTTAAAATCTAGACTGTGTTTTGCTAATGTACAATTTTGATCACACTGGACGCTTTTTGGACAGTATTTTCACAGAGTTTTGCAGATCTATTATTAATCTAATCTAAATCTAACTTTGTTTTTTCAGAACTGTCATTTTCTATTGATAGGATTATTATTGCATTTGGCATTGAAATGACATGTAACTAGAGCCAATAACCATATCACAGATTTCTTGTTGGGGTTGACTTCTTATTCAGGAAGATTCAATTCTTATTTTTGTGGTTAACAGCTTGGCGTATTGTTGTTGCCCATTGCTGTTCTTTCTACATTTGTGGTTCAAAAATACTTGGAAGTGACAGTCTGGATTTCTTTTCTAGAATAATTGAGATGCCTTAACACATCTCTTCTGCAATCACTAGCTTGCCTGAACACACATTTCTAACAACAAACTCAGTGTCACCCCTTGTTACTGTAACTTTAGCATCTGATGCCCTTACTGACATTAGAGCCCTGTGATGTTGAACTAATATGACCTTTAAGCTAAGGTTGCTCTGCATGTAGTTTTAATGTTTTGCTACAATAACAATACTGTGATGTTGACAGTATATTATTGATAATGATAAAATTGCCATCCCAAGACATTTTTGTGCTTCACTGCAGCACCTTTCTGTCTGCAAACAGCATAATGACCATTTCATTTTGGGCTAATCTATTTCCCTCTAAAGAAACCTGTTTGTAGCGAAGCAAAAATAGAGATTCAGTTGAATTGTGCAGCAGCATAAAGCATGTCGATTAGTTCCATAAATCCACACAAGTACGTCAAACTGGGGCACTCCAATAGCTCACCTGTTAGAGTATCAAGGCTAACAACAGCGGGTTTGAGTCCGGCTTTGCTCCATGTCATCCCCTCTCTTTCTCTCTCCCCTGACTTTGCCGTCTCTCTCTACTGTCTTACTGTCACTGACGAATAAAGCCATATATAGGTTCTTGCAGTAGCATCCTCTGCACACATACAGTGCAAGTACAACAAAAAATACAGCCATATTTTCTTCTGCCTTGTGATCTCTTTGTGAAGGGCCAAAGCATTGTGTAACTCTGCCAGACAATAGAAGACAGTTGTTAGGGGATATGGGGAAAAGGAAAGCTGTTGATGTTAGAGGAGGTTCTGACAGAGAAGGAAAATCTCTGGAGTAGCCCATTTAGTTGTTTACTGAAACATTCGTGCAGTTACAGTGTATTCTGGATTTTGTCTTAGTTGATGTGAGTGCTAGCTTTTTTATTTACCAACTTCCTGTCTAGTCCTCATCCTCCTGTAATGTGCTGTCTTTTCTCATAACATCCTCTCCCCATACACTCCCTCGGAGTAAATGTTCTACGCCTAACAAAGCACACAGTTTCTGTACTAAAGCCTCTGCCTTTGAGCACTCTTTTGCTAGAGCATTGCAGCATGATGTCATCTGGATAGCATGAAGTACTTCTGTTAAAGTGCACCATCATGTGGGGAGTAACAGTACTGACATTTCCACTTCATGAAGCCTTTGCTGCTGTGACCTGGGGTGGGAGCTGAATAATTCCATAATGCCCACAACAAAGTATTCATTATGAATATAATGACAACCTCTGGAGTGATATTAGTATAATTAGAATTCATAATTGGAGCATTGGAGCTTAGATTTAGTCTGCGTGGAGGTATGCAGCTGCCAGAGAAGCATTTATCGCTTTGAATGTTCAATGATAAAGAAATATTTGTGTTTGTTTTTAGCTCACTAGGTTTCTGTGAGACAAACTGGACTAGGCTAATTATAGAAACTAGATATGTATTCTATTCTAAGAGTTCACTCTGTTTATTGTGTTATGAGATTCGCCTGAATCTTAATCAGCCTTTTCCCATGTGTCACAATGTCTCAAACACTGTGGACAGTATTTCCAACTTTGGCTGAGGGGGCAGCACAAAAACTACAGAACAAAACCATGTGCAGATTTGTTACTGAGGGGGCCAAGAGAGTTATTGACTATTATTGTTTGCAATTTGTTCACAGCCAATTTATTTCCTTTTTTTCCACTCCAAACTCCAGGGAGGTACAGGAGAACCGGATGCTGCCGTCAGTGAAAGACAACAGCGGCAGCCACGGCTCGCCCATCAGTGGCAAGCTGGAGGGCATTTTCTTCAGCTGCAACACAGAGTTCAACACAGGCAAGCCTCCGCAGGACTCACCTTATGGCCGCCACCGCTTTGAGGTTCAGGCTGACGTGCTCTTCAACCCTGACACCAACCTGTACTTTGGAGACTTCTACTGCATGTATACAGCCTACCACTACGTTATCCTGGTCCTGGCGCCAAAGGGCTCCAGGGGTGACGACTTTTGTAAGCAGAGGCTTCCTGCGCTTGACATCACCAACAACCGTTTCCTTACCTGCAAGCAGGGTGAAGAGGGTGACGGCAGTCTGGTGTTTCACCACGCCCAGGATGTCATCCTTGAGGTGATCTACACGGAGCCTTTAGACCTGGCGCTGGGCACGGTGGCTGAGATCAGCGGGCATCAGCTGATGAGTATGTCCACGGTAAATGCCAAGAAGGACCCCAGCTGCAAGACCTGTAACATCAGTGTGGGGCGCTAAGAAAAGGCAGAATGTAGGAGTGGGAAGGGAGGACTAGAGGAGATTGACCTCTACACACACAGGAAGTCCACATGTACTGATGAAGCAGACCAACACATGCATGAAGCAGCAGATTTAGTACGCTCCCAGACATGCACACCAACATATCTCTGACACTGTTCTGTCATTCCCAAAGACGTGTAGAGAAAAAAAGAAGAAAGTACACACTCTGACACCATTGTCTCCTCATCTCAAAAAGGGTTACCCTAAATGTTGAAAACATACATTAAACTGAACGATCCAAATCTGGGACACCAACAACACAGATCCATCTATCCTGCAAGTCAATACTGGCGTACTGACCAAACCCTTTAACTGTACTAACAAAGGTGGACTGCTTCTATTCAATTTCCTGTTGTTTAAGTTATCCCATATTTTGTTAACAACTTTTGGCTTGTTAATATTGATATGCCACTGGCTGTGTGGACAAGCAGTTTGGTGTTTTCAATTACTTTGACTGTTCTTCGTTTTAGAAATGTTTTGTTCTCATTCCACAGTAGACAAATTCAGACATCTTTTTACCTCTTTCTAGTGGCACAGACTGGTACTACAATATTCTAGGGCTGCAGCATCAAGTCATCTTTCTTTATACCAAAGGTATTAAAACCCAGACAAATGCTGTGGAATCCTAACAGTACTAATGCAACAGCCTCTAAAATGTTGTTAACTTGCTAACCTTTAAAAAAATAAAAAAAAGCATGATGCAGTTCTGTGCAGCATGAGTGTGAAAGCTGTCGGTACCTCTACCATAGCAACCTTTTCTGCAACAGCCGCTCTTATTTTATTGTAGTCAGTGCAACGAAAGTAGAACCATAAACTGTGTTTAGCAGAATAAATGTGAAAAAATATTTATTTTTATTGATACATTCATATATATAGAAAATTATATAAACCAGAAGTGCACAATGTCAAAAGCTCTGATCATTGTCAACAACTGCATTTAGGAGGAATTAACTTCATACAGGCAAAGTGTGTGTGTGTGTGGGGGGGGGGGGGTGTAAACACAAATTTGACAGCAGATATAACTTGCACTACAATGCCTATGTTCACCAGCATTCACATATTTTCCAAGGTGAACATGTAAATTGAACGATTTAGATCAACCGTGAAATTCTTGATGCATATCATAACATAATATCAGCACAATGTAGGACTACAAAACAGACATGCACAAACACTACAGGATTGTCCCATTGATTGCATTTAAGCTTACACCTTTTTTGTTTTTGCCAAGATAGCATTTTTGAAATATGCAGTTCACACATTAACTATGAAGGAAGCTGTCCAAAATAGCATTTTGGCATGAAGAAACGCAGGTAACAAAGTATCATAATATACATACAGTGATCTTAAAATGACTAATATGTAACTAACATCAAGTTGTTACAGCTCTTCATCCTTGACATAAATTAGTGCTACATAAAATACACTTGCTACATCAGGTTTATAATAAGATGTGCCATGGATGACAAAGGATGTGTTTTTGGGGACTAAAACAACTCTGCTCAGCATTTAATTCAGACTGTCACCAATTTCCATCAATTTTCTTCATGTAAAGTGCATCGACATAATGTGGTATGAAACAAGACCAGACACCACCGGCTTCACAACCAGATTTTTCAGAAGTCCTGTTAAGTTCGATAAAGGTCCCACTGTGAGTTAACTCAGCTGGTCTTGGTTGAGTCCTGTTGTTTACTGAGCAGGACCTCCAGTAGACGGAGCTTCGCTTTGAGGTTCTTATACTGGCAGTACTCCTCCGCCATCGGTCCACGGTCCTCCTTCTGGCAAGCCCTGTTAACAATACATGGAGGAAAAAAAGATGCAAACAAAAGGCAAAACTTCGGTAGTTTCAAACAACTTGCAGCAGCTTCCATATCTGGTTGATAGTCCCTATGTTGCCTTACTCAGATAGCTTTGTACAGTGTGTATTGTAATCAGAAACTTACTGTATTTACTTAGGAGGACTAACATGTACAATACAAAGGATGTGTACAGTTCAGAGGAAACGTCTATCTCTTCGTCTCTTCCTGAGCTCTGTGCTGTATTAACGTTACGTGACTGTGCATTACACTGTCGTACCACTACGATGGAATTTCTTTTGTGGATGTTTTTTCTTTGTTTTTCACAAGGCATTGTTGAAAACCAAATGTTCCAAGTTTATTAAAAGACAAAAATAAAATTCAAAAGCCAAGTAGCTTGGATGTGCTGTGTGTGTCATTGGTGTGTGTAACCTTTACCTGCCGGTCTGCAAGTAGAAATGGTGCTCAAACTCCCGGAGCACTTGATGAAGCCTCCGCCTCTCTAATCGTGCTTTCCTGAGGTGTTCCAGTAATTCTGGTCTGTGAAGAAAGAATTTCCTAGATCCTTTATATTGTCTGCAAATGTGTGCACTTAACCACAGCTACCACAACAAATAGTTTAAAGCAAATGAAATGTGAGGTTCCAGCTATTATTTTGAAAAAAACGTTCTTAATGGCAAGAGCTATTAGATTAAACAACTAGGTCTCTGTGGTAAAATAAATTGGAAATCACACTGTGCTGTTAATGCCACCCATAACCCCCCCCCCCCCCCCCCCCCCCCCCGCCCAAAAACACACACACACACACACACACACACCTGGAAGCTTCATGTAGTGTTGCCATGGTGATGATCTGTGGCTGGAGACCCTTCACTTCCTCCAGCGGGGACACCAGAGGTGTTTCAGACATTTCTAGCAAGGGCAGATGCGGCAACTCATCTGAAGACAGTTGCCTGGGAGATTTCAGCCAGAGTGGCTCCGGCCTGGGACGTTGCTGTTTGGGATGCTCTTCATCGGAGCCCTCCTCTTCCTCCTATGTAGACACACACGCACACACACAAGCGGATAATCTGTCAGAGTAAACATTTGACATAGCTCTATTCAGCCTGTTGGGAGTTAGACATGATATGGTTCATATCCCAATTGATTAGCTACTACCTAGTCAAAAAAACAACTCACCTGAATATTAGTTATTAGAATAAGTTTCAGAATTATCTGTCTTGCTATCATAAATAGAAAAGTTTGGTGTAGCTCTTATATCCAGCCACTAGAGGACACTGTTTTTGCCTCAGAAGCCATGGTCAGTTTGATTCTCCAGTGAAATACAGTGGCTTTGTGTCGTTCCAGAGATCACATCCCTCTCTACAAGACAACCCTCTCTCATTTAAAATTCAGAATGAGTGAGAGCTTTCAACTCACGATAGTCGTGATGACTGCTGCAGCAGCTGAAGAAAGCAGCAGCTGCTTGAGAAGGCGGTAACGATCGTAGAAAGATTTCATCAGCGTCCGCTCCTGCCTGGTACTCTGAAGAATCGCAGATAGAAAAAGAGACACAAATAGGAACCACCTTGTTATTGGTGGTAAAACAGAAACAAGAGAAGCCAGTGGATTAAGGAGAGAGAGAAGAGAACAACATGACACAACAGGAGTTATCACGTAAAAAAACATAAGGGGAGCCACTGAGGCTGGTCTTACTGGTCGTCCATGCAGACTCTCAAAGTAGAGCAAACACTTCTGCAGGCTGGTCTTCTCCATAGTCATCTGGAAATGGGACATCTCCTGCACATACAGGAACAGGTAATCAGTCAGCGTTTATCCAGGTTTAGTAACACACAGATTTTCCCTCCAAGGCCAAGGAATCAGACCACAGAGCCTATACTACAATATCTGTGTGTATGTGTGTATGTGTGTGTGTGTGTGTGTGTGTGGTGAAAGCATTTCTGCAACACTAACCTTAATACTGTCAGGCAGGCCAAGCTCTCGTTGTCTTTCCTTCAGTCTGTTGGTTATAATGTTGACCGTTTCCTCCACATTTGGCTTGTTGTTGCTGTTGTTGTTAAGTTGCTGCAGCTCAGTCCCTGTTAGTGCTGCCTCCCTCTGGTCTATGTTAGTCCGGCATGTTTCGGCTGATGAGCTGAAGTCTCCCTGCCCTCTCAGCCCCCCTTCTTCTGATTGTCTCAGCTTTAGCTCTAAAACATGACAGTTGTTCAGAAAAATATGGTGAGATGAAAACATGGACAAAAACAGGGGCAATGTGAATCTAAAATGTGGACTTTGGTCTCTGGTAAACAAATAGTATTGTTGCGATAATTCAGTGGTAGAAAACAATTAAGTACATTACCTCAAGTACAGTATTTAGGTACAGTTTTTAGGTACTTGAGTATTTATATTTTATGCTACTTTATACTTCTACTCTACATCAGGTTAAGATATTACATTAAAACCATAAGATTTCAAAAAACAATGTATTGTCAAAAATTAAACCAGTGGTTCCCAACATTTTTGGCTTGTGACAAAAATCAGTCAGTGTCTACAGTAATTGGGCCCCTTGTGACATTTTAGACGCCATAAGTTGTTAGCAGTCCACCAAAGAATGGAGAGATGGTTTTATTTAAGAGGTAAAACTCATATCTTCACTATATTTCACAAAAGAACAATGATTATAATTGTCCAAAAAATGAATACAGATTTGTTTGTAGCAGAACTTTCTTTTTTCTTTTTTACTACCCTTTTAATAACATCACGACCTCTGCCATGTCATAATATGTCATTAATATGAGTAATTTTACTTTAAGCTGACTCTGTACTTTTACTCAAGTAGGATTTTAAATGCAGGTCTTCTATTTGTAATGCAGTACTTTTACATTGTCGTATCTGTACTTTCACTCAAGCAAAGATGTGAATATGTCTTCTACCACTGCAATCATTAATAAATGTGTTCATGGTGTGGGTGTGTTTATTAACGGACCTTTAAGCTGCTTGCGACTCTTGATGAGCTCCTTCATCAGTCTGGCCACCTCTGGATGGGCTGTCTTGTCATTGTGGGCTGGCTGGAAAAAAACATTAAAATCACATCACTGACAGAACAGAAGTGTGTCTCTTGTACCTGGAACCTTTTTTTTTTTTTTTTTAACTTTGTCCTTTGTTCCAGGTCTGAGTGGGTTCTAATTCTTACCAATATTTTGCTGTTCTGTAGCAGCCCTATCAACTAGCTGACCAAGGATCCAGTGTGTAGCAAAATGTAATTTTTCCACTGCACCAGTAGAGGGAGTAATTCACTCTTTTACGATGTGAGTCGTTTGCATCCACAAAATCCTTTTAGAACTTAAATATATCTAATTCACACCCAGCCAGGAACACACACAAACAAGAAAAAAAGAAAAACCTCACCCATGGCTCTGTGAGAGCTTTTTGGTGGTTTCGGGGAAAAAAAGGCAACCCTGAGCTTCCCACGCTGAGGCAATAACCAATCCAACCATGACTCAAGAGAATGACCAAGCAGCTCTGATTTCCTTCCTCACCTTATAGTGCTTCTCCTGTTCAAAACGCTCCTCAAAACGCCTGATCCTCTTCCTCAGGGTGTGAATGTGTCTGTTGAGCATTGAGATGGACACAGAGCCATCATCTAGCTCTGTATGGACACTACTGCGAGCCCTGGAGACAGAAAAGCGCACAAATCTATGATATAAGGACTCATAACATGCATTTAACCATTACCTAACATGGTAGCCATTCAGCAATCCTCCACTCTGCATCTGTACCACATTAGCACTGTGATATTTTCTTCTGATTTGAGGCCCAGCAGTATGGAACATCAAATTTGAGATTATCCCATCTAAATAAATAAAGTGAGTGAAATTAGTGAGGATAAGTCCTTACATGCTTATGTGCTGGGAGCATGGTGGAGAAGGGGCTGCATCAGGGTCTAGGTTGTAGCGTAGGCTGTGACTGATGTTGGGGCAGCGCGGCGAGGGAACGGGGCAGTCGCTCGTCATAAAACAGGAGAGGAGTGGGCTGGTGTTAGGGCCCGGTGGGCTTGGCAGAGTGTCATTTCCTGAAATCCCCCCAGAAAGAACTGCAGTGGATAGGACAGGACTGGACTCTGATGAATGAGGGGATGGGGTATGTTCTGTAAGAGAGAGAGGAAGGCCAAAATATTAACTGAAATCTATAATCATTATTTTACTATTTATTAATAAATTATTTTATTTGAGTATGTTTGTCATTTTTATTTGACTTTATAAAGGAGGACAGATGGGACATAATGAGAGATGTGAGAGAGGGAGAAAAAGGTAGGTGTACATACGAAGAAAACAACGATTAAGGAAGGAAGGAACAGAAAGAAGAAGAAGGAGAATGAAAGAAGGACAAATAGCTCTTTCTTATTCAAGCTACTCTTTTAAATATTAAGATTTTTATTTGGTCTGTGTGATATATACAATCAACAACAAATCTGAATGTTATTTATTTTTGGCAGTTAAAACCTCTACGGTTAAAAAACACTTGTTTCTTGACAGAACTAGACATAGACATAAAAAAGAGCAGCAAGAAAAAAACATTGAGACTGTCACCAAAACATTGGTGATTTGATATAATCAAACATGTGACATATTATTGACTACATGTACTAATTTCATCGCGTCACAGGCAGCTGTGCAGTGATGCAACAGTAACATTATTATACCTTGGTGCACTATTATCACGAAAAGACACACCCAGCTCTGGGAAATGATGAAGCTCATAGCTCGCTGTCAAGATTTATTGACTGTTATTTTACATGCACCAAAGGAATTACAGCAGCTAGGAAGATGCTCTGAAATTACTCTATTTTGAGGTGCTTTGGAGAATAAAATTCATCACTGGCAAATGGGCTTTTACAGCTTCTACATCATTTTCATCTTTCTCACGAAAAAACACATAACACAGGAAATTGATGAAACTTGATTATTAACATTTCAGTATATCACCGCTTGATTGCCATTGTCTTACCTGGCTGTGTTGAGTCATCCATGTGTTGATTCTGAGCAGGAGGTGACTGTGGTGAGTGGAGGGGCAGCTTGTGGGTCAGATACAGGTTCTGCTCTTCAGTTGAAAGAGGCTGTTGCTGGGCAGGCAGGTTATCCTGAGCTTGGGGGTCTCCCGGTGTTGGCAGGGGTCCCAAGTCAGCCTCCAGGGCTTGTAGCTTGAGGGAGGGGCTCTGGAAACAGAAGCAGAACATGGCTTCAGGGATGCAGACGGGCAGGGACAGGAGAAGTCAGAAAGATGTGATGTAGTTTGCCGAGGAGGGAGTCTTCAGCATTTCACAAACTGCTCAGGAATCTTGAGAAGTCCTGTAAAACTCTCTCCTATGAAAAGAAATATTCTGGCACTGAAGAAGAGTTACAAGATGAGGTGGTATGAGTCCTTCTTATAAAGGAATGAGTAAAGCTCTATGAGCAGGCTGCTTTCAGGAGTGGCTAAAAAACGAGGAACAAACTTCTCAAAACAAAAAAAGCAATTCTTTGCTCTTCCAGGGCTCCCAGTCAGTTACAAAAGCATAAATGGTCATTACAAGCAGCACAGCGGTGAGGTGGTGCATATTTTCAGTAATGCAAAAACCGACTACCAGCTCCCTCTACTGTAGCTCTCCTCAGGTCTCTGTGTGACTAGAAACTAGTCAGCCAGCCAGGCACTCAACCAGCTCCACAAGAATCCCGCCGACTTCTCTCAGTCAGTGACTTCAATTCCTAATGTGCATCAGCATCCAGCGTGGGATCCCTGATGAGCAACACGCTGTAATTCCATTAGCAGTATTGCTGTGATTCTCAGATCCCCGGATCGGCGTGCTTGTGGGTGTGTGAGAGTACAGCTTGCCCCCAAAGAAAATCCCTAAATCCACATGGTTTTCCTTCTGACCGGCACTTCTGCTGCCCAACTGCCTCCACATGGATTATTTGTCACGCACGGAAGAAGGTGGGCGGCGGGAATACCGCTCATGTCGGGTGCATGTGGTGCGGGTGTGTGTGTGCAAGCGAGGAGAGAGGTACTGTATATGAGGAGGCGTTTCCACGGCAACGTTGTCAGACAGAGCTGTGGAGTCTATTTGATGGAGCTGCGGGGAGTCACGGAACGGTTTGCCTCGGTATGTGGGCGTGTAGGTGTATATGCACTGAATTCTGGTGGTGCTATGCAGAGTGAGAAAAATAAAAGATTTGCAGTTGAGCTGTGCCGAAACCATTCTGGGTTCAGCTTGCAATATAATATAATTTGGTTTAAGGGCATCTTTTTTTTTGCTCATTTAGGCACATTGACATCATTCTCAGTATCATCATCATCAACAGCAGCAGATAAAGGCTCAGCTTCTCCTTTCTCACCTTTCTCCTCAGCTGTTCATTCATAAAAAATAAACTGTGTGCGTCACACAGAGGAGGTGGAAGGATGGAAGTGAGGGGGAAGGAATGAGGCTGTTTTTACTGAGGCAAAACACCCACAGGCAAGTAAGCTCACACCTAGCAATACACATACAGGTGTGCACACAAGCACACACGCAAACAAACACACACAATCACTGGAGGCATCAGCCGTCCTGTTGTCATAGACACCCTCATCCTAAAGATAGTGTTAATTTGTGTATCCAAAAAGACCGTGGGGAAGGAGAACTTACGTCATACGTACTGTTGTTCCTGCCTCTGCAATCATTGTGTCTGTCAGGAGAACCACTACATCCTCTTCCTCCGCTCCCCTGAAGGAACAGACAGCACACGCACTGATGAAGTCCCACTCCTGAAGCACGCTTACTGACACACACACACAAGCGTGGGCACACAGCCATAAACGAAAAAATGTAGGCTAGAATGACACATACAGAGAGATCATGAATTTCTTTCTTTTTATCTTTTTCAGCAGACCCGGTTAGTTTTTCATCAACCATTAAAAACAGTTTCTTTAACAAAAGTAAAGACCAATATATTTTTGAGCTGAACTCTGAAGGAAATCATCGGTCCAAGTCGGGTAGCAAACATCATCCAACTAAAAGGGGCATCCTGAGTGTATTTTGTTAGCTACTGCTAAAAAATGTTCTTTTATTGTGGATTAATTTGGTAACCTCATTGTATGTCAGTCGTGGTATCAATGAAGACTAGCAACACAACCATTTAACACATTCCCTTTTTCCTCTGCCTGTGCTGTGGAATTAAATCAAACATTCATATCACTTTTAAACTTTGTTTCTTATCTAAAATATTAGGTGAACTCTATTTGTGGCTCTATGTGCATTAATGCGTTTCATTTTGCTAGCTCACAAGCCTAAGGCTACAACTCTGAGCCGTGGCTATGAGAGAATGATCCTCGCTGGCTTGAAATGAAATAGAAGCCTGTAGAAATAATTTGGAGATGGCACAAAGGTCTGTTTACCTTCCACTTGGACACTCTGCTTTTGTCTTCTGTCTTGTACTCCATGCAGCACAGCTTGCTGAAAAACACAATTCTGTCAAACAACAGGCAAATACAATGAAATCACATTAAGTATTAGGTTGTTTTTTTTAAAGCAACAAAAACACTGTTTCCCTCTCTGGTTCACAGTCCATGTGACTTTAATACACATTGTGCTCTGTCTGTATTCATAATCAATACTGTATGAAACCTACTCAGAGGCAGGATCACCCCGTACTGTGTGTAGCTTTGAGGTTAGACGGTCATCTGGCACTGCCATTAAGGTTTTGGCCTATCCATGTCTGACACTAATAAGGTATAACACAGATGACCTGTCCTGTGGCTCTGTGGAGGCAGCGCAAACAGAAAGTCAGTGTGCCACCATGCTAGGCCAGCCTAATGTAGCTAGTTGGCCAGCTCCACGTGAGCCCCTGTGGCAAGTCAGTGTTATTTGGACTGGAATCATATCAAAACTATGACTGTGAGCTGCACACTGCTCCAATAACCTACTTCTCAACTGACTGCAGGGCAAAGAGATGAGCTGAACTGAGAGGAACCAAGCACGGGTGGAGGGGGACAAAAACAAGTGTAGCATCCAAAGGAATCAGATAAAATCTGAATCTGATCCACTTTAACTGTAACTACAAACTCTGTTGTCTTTGATTTGAGATTATGTTTGAATCTGAGTTTAATTTCAAACAGCTGATTTGTATTAAACTGGTCATTTTTATTCCACTTGGATGTTATCTGTCAAAACCAACAAATGGCCACTGCTACAAAAACAGTACATGCGGAAGCAAGAAAGGAAAATACATCTGCAACAAAATGCCATCTTGTGTAGTCTTCATGCAGACATTTTCTTCTCACCTCTCTGTGTGCTGCATCTGTCTTTGGGTTTTGTTCTGTGATTCATTCGCTATGCAGCAGTCTGAAATAGATGATATCTGCCCTGCATCCGTGGAAGCCTGAAACACAGTTCAGTCCATGTCATATAACCTTCCAGTCCCGCTGTGAGCTAAAAGATGTTCCACTTTAAACAATAAAAGCATAGTGCAGTGCACGCAGGAGGCACTGTCCTTTTTTTACCATTTACTACATTTATATAAACGGAAATATAGTAATAAATGCGAACGACCATAGAAACAGTTGAATGATATTCACAGCTGGAGATGTTTAATGGGCTCGAGAAAGGGAGAAAAAGTAAGATAATGTAAAAGAAAAGAAAAGCCTAAAAAAAAAAACAAAGAATGTGAGAGTAAGAAAATCAGCAATGCACACCTTTGAACAGTAGTCTATGATGGGTGAAGAAGGTGTCTTTGTATTCTCGAGCTCATCAACTTCTTCCTCCTCTTTCTCCTTTGATATGGAGGTGAATAGTGGCATATTGTCCTGAGAAAAGGTCCTGTTGATAAAGAAACTGTAGAGTGACACAATTCCTAGATGTCATAGCAATGACAATGCATTGTGCATTTGAGTTTTGAAGAAGGCAGATAGGGGGACGTAAAGGGGCATATGTTATCAACTGCTCAAATCATTTAAGGTGAAAAAAAAATCCCCTATGAGTGAAAAAAGGAAAGACATATGGAAGAAACGCTCACCCTTCTGTGGTACACTCCAACTCTGGTGGCTCTCTCTGGATGCTTCGGTACGGTCTGCCCTGTGGCGGGCGCTCTGGCCCCGGGTCAGTGGGCCAGGAGAGCAGAGAGCCGGCCTCTGTACTTTCACTGTGCTCCTTCAGAACCTCCATGTCTGGAATCAGCTTTTGAATGTCAGCGCTGACGTCAGAGCTGGTTTCACAGCCCTGCGGCAGTGTGTCAGCACTATGGAGAGACAGACAGAGAGAGAAAGAGAGTGAGATAGGCAGATTGGTGCACACACAGGAGGAGATCAGAAGAAATTCTCATAAGACATTAACTAATGGCTTTATTGATGGTTAATAAATCACTTACTAATGCTTTATAGTGAGTAATGATGCATTAATAAGAACTACTATTCTGTAGCTACACATTTTGATAAAGTCCTTTAAGTTCATAACTTCTTAATAAATTAATTTTGGTCCAGATGCTCTGTGGCCCTTTTATCCAGGAGGAAAGTGGTTGAACGGTCTGTTGCAGGGGTTTTCCTGAAGAATAAAAGAGCTAGCTTAAAAGACAATGTCCAGAAAAAAATTGTCAAAGCAAATGGCGTCACATTGGAGGAGGATAAATACTAGGCATAGTTATTTCTTATCTATAAAGCAATATAAAATATGTATTAACCATGAATACAATTCACAATAAAGCGTGTTACGAGAAATTTGTTTCGAAAGGTGAAAACAACAAGACAGAAGAAAGAGACAAACAATGAAAAGGAAAAGAATTAGAGAGAGAAGAGGGGGGGCATCAAGGATAACAAGAACCTTTTCTAAAGACAAAAAGATACTCATAGACAGGAATACAGTTCAGTATTGTATTAATCTGTGTAACACAAGGATAACATGAGTTAAGTCTGGAATGCCCAACAAATAACAAAAAACTTCTTGTCACTGCACCAAGTAGTTTGGAAAACAAACATCCAGCAGGTCATGAATGAGTGGTGCTTAATCTAATGCTACACCATGACACGTCTCATGAAGCTCTAATGAGCTGCTCCCAGCGAAAACAAGCACAACTGATTTGCCGCGACATGAACCAAAAACAGCCCATCAGTCACGTACTTGCTTAAAGCCGTGTATGACTCCAGAGCTGTAACCTACAGCAGACGGGTCAGTATAGCAGCAGCGAGATACTAATGATAGCTGCTCAGGCCACCACTTAAAGAGTTAGCCAGGTAGACAAACAGTCTACGTTCTGAACATTTACTACTTTTCTGCTTCAAGTTTCCCTCCCATAAACATTTTTCATCTTAAGAGACCTTGGTCAGATGTAACAAAAAAACAACAAAGCAAACTCTGCACGGATAACTAGGATAGACAGACACAAGCTGCAGGCAAATGTAAATGTAATATAAACAATGTAAAGTGATGCACAAATTAGCTCCTGCTTCTCGAACCACAGATGTCTTTGTTGGTAAATAACTGCATGCTAAAAATAGTTTCATGCATTAATGACCACTGCTCTCAAGCAACTACATTTCTTTTCTGTGTCTAAGACCGCTTTGCATTAATCTCACTCACTTGTGGTGGACTGTAGACCCATGGTTGTTGTTACTGATGCTGAAGCAGATGAGACAAGAAAACATCCTTTACCAGAACGTCTAAACTTACAGCAGTCTGGCATTACATGTGACAGTGAACAGCTTGCTGCTTTGGAGGGATGGAAAAAAGCCAAAGACATAAAGAAAGGAGGGCACAGATGTTGAGTCCTTGATGGTCAACATTACGAGTGACACCCGCAGGCAAAGAGCTGACCCATCACCTTCAATTACCCGTGCTCACATGCACACATGCACACACACCTTACGTAAAAATGCACATACAGACACAGATATAAACTCGCATACAGCAGCACTTAGTCATATTTGAGGTTAACAATACCAGCTCTAGCACTGTAATATAGGTGGAAATAGGCCAGAGAGGCTGGGACAAGAACACACACACAAATTGCACTCAGCTGCATACATTCACACTCAAACACAAGTTTAAATACTGGCTGATATGCACAATCAGAATTACAACTGAGAAGTTCAATGCTGATTTTTTAAAAACGTGACTACATAGGGAAGATTGTTCATGCGCATCAACCAACAAACCTCACTATATGAAATATATTTGTTTACCTATATATCTAGACTTCATCTGAACATTGATAATTTTATGAATACATGAAATTACTGATGTGAAAGGGACATTTATTGTAAAATCTTTTTCAAGTAATTAGCTTACTGAAAACCCTTTGTCCTTTTTCCCTAGAGATAAATATCTTTTTGAAATATGATCTTGTGTAACTGGTAGAACCAGAAAGCATGGCACTTTTTTTGAAATCCAAGCCTTTGTGGGTATAATTAGACTAAAATCAATATGGACTGTGACGTCAGTGGGAAGCACAGCGGTCCAGACATGGCCAGAAGGAACAACATGCAAATCATAGACATGTTTGCAGAAAGCAAAAACATCCCAGTGACGAATCCCAGTCTGATGTGCAGAATCAAATAACCAAAAAAGGTTCCATTCTTTATGCTAAATAAACCTAAGTCAAACATTTTTAACAAATGAACCATGAGAAATGGGACTACCTGTTCTGGATCCTGCGCTGCTGCTCTGTTCATGAAGTTAATAAATAAATACAAGAACAAAATACATTTTCACACCCCAATATAGTTATTTGATCTGGACCCCTTCATTAGGTTGAGGAAACGAGGAAAGGCTGTGTGCCTTTCAGACAGTATATTAGCTTAACATCTTAATTAACACTTGGAAGCGGCAAGAACACACAAAACTGGCATGGTATGAAGCTTGGCACTCCTCAGCAGGTATGACAGATTTGACCTCTTAGGATCTAATATCTGTAGGCGTGTGTGTGCAGGAGTGTCCACATGTGTCTATGTTGTATAAAATGATCTGAGATGATGCGCACACAAATGGTGCATAAAGGCTGGAAAAGAACAGTCTCCACAGTCTATACAGATTTACCTTTTCTTGCTCTGGGCTACATGGAGATAGTGTCTCAGTGTCTTGTTATATTATATTAGTCATTTGGCCGGTGAGAAGCTGGACTGAGTGATGTCTCCTCTTTAAATTGACACAAGCCGGTAGTTTAAGTACGGTCTGGTCAGTCTGACATCTGGCTGCAATGCTGCTGCATTTGAATATTTCTGTGACCTTCATAGGATTTTACTAGTAATACCTAGCAATACATTCTTGTTTTCAAATAACATCTTCATGATCATGAGTTCCACTGAGGACAGACCTTTTATACCACAAAGTCACAAAGTCAACAGAACCACAACAAAAGCCTGCTTACAATGTCAACAACAATGTGTTTTTATCCCCAGTAGCTTCAGCAGAACTCCCATCCACACACAGGGAACAAATCAAGATACCAGGCACAGAACAATAGTCACATACGTGGGTGACTGCTACAGAATGAATTAGCAAGTGCACGTGAATGCCATGTCACATGCTGACGAGGGGCGGACAAAAATAGAAGATATATAAATGTAATTTAACGTCTGTTTGGCAACCTTGCTGCAACCCACGTTCACAATTTAAAAATAGGAAATAGCATAGTAGCCTCCAGGTTCTGTGAGTGGGAAAAGTTCCCCACAAGCAGATGGCTGTCAGTGTGTACATTCTGTCTGGGGGACCAATTTGCCATTGTTGTCCTACTCTGCTCCTTCAAAAAGTAAAACTGCAATGCTATTTTGACTTGCCATTAGACTGAAAGGCCAGTCAGCGGGCTGTACAAGCCACAACACTTTTCCCTGTTGACTAGCCAGCAGTGTGTTGCACCTGCCTCAGGCTATTAAATGAATGAATTACTGCGCCTTAGTTTAATAGTCTTGAATATCTAATTATCATTAATTTGTCTACTTCTCCTTTTCTCATTAAAGCATCAATCAAATGTGGAGCTATGGAGTATTCATAACCTTTTTCGTAGGGAGACATCAAAAAATACCTGAAGAGCTGAAAAATATCACAAGTTTGACAGAGGCTTCGTGTCAAAGACAGCAGTGATGTCCTTCGATTCGATGTTCCCTTCCCCATGGAAGCACGTTTAATGAAACGATTAACACTAATGAAAAGCTCTAGTTTCCAGGGAAGAAGTGGGGCTGTCTAACAATGATAAAATAAAAAGCGATACAGTTTGACATCTTTGTGACTTCCATGAACAGAGTGTAAGAGGCCTCCAGAGGTTGGCCTTAATCCCCTGTGAATGATGTCTCAGCCTTATCACTAATGATACAACCATTAACCTGACAACTGACTAAACGATGCTGTATATAGAGTGAAATGCTATGGGGAAAAAGGTCAGGTCCTAATTATTCCCGCAGGACAAGATATGTAAAGGGAGAGTCTTGTGTATATTCACACCACAAGAATGACCACTGATATTTTAGCTAAGGCAAAAAAACGTTTCAAAACAACTACATGGGAATAAGTCATTAATACTATCTATCTATCTATCTTGTGCAGTTACAAAGTTACTGATCCTAAAATGATGACAGTACCTGTTGAGCTGAGATCGTATTCCTATTGTTTGGTCAAAAGCACTCATCGCTGGGACAGAAGCTGTCTCTCCTTCCAACCTCTCCACACTATTCAGCTCTGAGCGACAGCTATTGGGTCGGACCTACCAAGGACAACAAGAGTGAATACACACATACCACTATAGAGAGATAACAAGCAATTTTTTGCATTTTCACCAAATTAAATTTAAGACACCACATAGAGTGCAATTTAAAAAACATTTCACAGTCATACTGGTCAAAGAATGACAGAAAGCCAGTAGGGACAATAAGGCTTGCAATTATTTTTTAAGGGTATGACTTTATTTATATTTATAGTACATTTTTTTGTCATTACTTTGCAGCTATATATAACAATAATACCTAGTAATATTATTAATCAATTAACACAACCTGGAACCAGATAAATAGAAGGTGACGGATGAATGGTTTAAACAATTAAAAAATAATTAATCTAAGTTAATTTAAGCATTATACATGTGTATAATGTCTCATGACAGCCTGCAGCCGTCTCACTGTCTATGAATGGGAGATGGTGGCCCTGTAGACCAAATAGCTCTGTTTGTTGGTAAGTGGTCTGATTCCACCCCTACCGATGTAATCAAAAAGTGTAAAAAATGAAACTTAATCGATGATGATGGTTCACCTCAAAGTGCGAAAGAGCAGACAGAGTAGGGGGAGTCGGGGAGGAGGAGGCGGTCGAGGATGCTACTGTGCCCTCGGCTGGGACTGGAAGGAGAACGTTCTGATGCCGGAGAAGATGGAGCAACAGGGCGTTACTCACACTCTGCTCCTCCAGCATCCTGGGTCCTGATGGAACACTGCATAAAGAGGAGACAGGGGAACAACAACACAATGTCACGTGTACTGTGTATTCAAAGTGGTAGTGGCTGTAGTGTGTTGTAACAAACATAATGGAAAAGGGTTCCATCTAGTGGAAGGTCATACGCATCAGTGAACTGAGATGAAAATTTCCCATTGGCGAAAATAAACAGCTTGTAAATTCTCATTTTCTGCTCACTGATTTATAGATATGTGCGTGTTATCTGGTCATAACATTCACAACACAAAGGTAAGCACCACCTCTGGCCAAAATAATCTTCACATGTTGACCAGGAAGCAGCTTTTTGTTTTTAACATGGCATGCCATCCATGCTGCCTTTTTAGGTCCGATGTATACACGGTAGGTAAAGGTTGACATAGCATACATACAGTGAAGAAAATTTGAGTAGCAATATGTTTACAGTTCAGGCAGATCAAGGGAATTATGGGACAAAACAGATGCATACGAGGGCAACAGGCTGTTTAGAAAGAGGCTTAGATGAAAAATATGCATGACTATGGTGTTACAGTGTCTTTCCATCTCATTTTGTCTTAATTTGATAGCAATATTATTAAAATCTTGGAACGAGCTCAAACAACAACAACAACAAAAACAACAATGTACTGGGCTAAATGGTAGCTTTGTTCAGCTGGACATGTTTTGCAGCATGTATCTCTCATTCAGTCTCTAATCTTTTTCATTCATACCATTATACTGTTCCTCTCTTCCTCTGTTCTGATGCCTGTGGAACCAGAGGGAAAAGCAGCTACCGCAAACCAAATCCACCCCCAACTTTTTCCAGGCCTCTTCTGCCAACTCCACACCTCCTAACCATCTCCTTTTCCCCTTGCTATAATCATCCAACATTTTCCCCACATATGCAGAACTTCACGGCACGACTACTACCACATTCCACTGACATGCCGTTAACTTTCGGAGAAAACAAGGATGACACAGATGAGACTGGGTGATCAAGGGATGGGGGAACAGTTGAAAAGGGTGTTGGCTAAATAGTCTTTTCCACTGTGGCAGAAACTGAACACAAGTCTGATTGTAAGTGTGTCTCCCTAGAGACAGTGTTTGTTTACACCAATAGCTGAGTTCTGTAAACAGGAGGGGAGAAGCCAACGACAAAATCCTGTTATATCAGTCTGTCTTTTTGTGTGCCATGCTCAGCGTTATCAACCACAATCCACACCCATTTCCTTGGTGACAAACCCGTCTCGCCCCCAAATTACCAGTGTAGCTGTGAAAAACACAACCACTTGCTAATGAACTGGGCCAGACACTTTGTAGGTTGCTCTCATGACAAACAGTGTTTTTGTTTTGTTTTTACGCCTGGATCTGACAAAGACAAGCTTGAACATAATTCACTTCCAGTAACTGTGAAGGGAACATTTGCGCTTTTATTTGTTGAACTCTAGTTTGTTCTTGATCATACTTTTAGAGAAATCTCTCCAAGTGTGAAAACCATCATTTTAAAATATACTTTCTTAAAGTTATACCACTGTCTAACCTTAAGAAAGTCACAAGTCACTAAACTGTCTGCTCGTGTGGATCCTTATGTCCCAGTACAGGTCTGGATAAGATTTGAATGTGGCATTAACAACAGCAACTTACTGGAATATGCAAGGCCCAAAGATGGTTGCCAGATTTTCCACAGGCATGTGATTTGATTGGCTGTGAGCAGCCACTCTGGACAGGAAGTGGATGAGGTAAGACAAAATAAGGAGGTTGTCAGCAGGGAGGTGGCAAAAATTTTGTCTGAGAGAATGGTTCATCTCGGCCTCATTAGCATATCCTAAAAATAAGCAAAAACATCACAGCAGTATTTATTAACATGCACTTCAACCACTAGTCTTTGGTATCTATGAAGATACAGTATATAACAGGTCTCAGATTCATATTAGTTGGTATGTTAAGCACATTTAGGCCTTAAACATAGCATGAGATTTAAGAATATAAGCAGCCTAATACAAGTAAACCACCCCATTATCACCACCATGCAATTATAAAATAACATAGTATAAAATTCACACCAAATAACACTTTTAAGACTCATTTGAGCATTTGTCAGTAGCATTTAACTGAGTGAATAATGAATTGGTTCCTCAAAGCACAATCACTGTATTAAGTAATACTTGAAAACCCTAGCGGTGTCTACTGTTGCTGTACTTTGAGGAAAACACAAAAGGTGACCTCTCAACTCTGTTAATTTCCACGTCTACTTCCCTGTTGTCAAAGCAAAGATTTGTTTCCCTTTGTGGAAGAATTAGTGTTTTCAAGGTGGAAACATGCAAAAAACAAACAAATAAAAAAAAACCCGGCACTGTCACTAAGAAAATGGAAGAATAACAACCATCCCACAAGTTATTTTCCTGACTTAAATCATTTAACCTTTAATCCACAATTTAGAGATAAGAATCATCTAAATTAAAATGACCTTCGTCAACGTCTGTCTCCAGAAAGTGCAGTGTTCATCTTTTCTTCATCTCCAACATTATAGATTAATTTAATGAGTGTATATAGCAATTATTCTAGATGTTCTTTTCTGGAAATTTACATATAATTAATAGTAGTACAAGACTCCAGTTGTATTACTAATGAATACTTTATATTCAACATCATACAGCTCAGTTTTTTTCCCCTTAAGAGTTTTGATGTTCTCTAACCGCACTGCCCAAAGAAACTGTCCAAAAAACATAACATTTGGTTATCCTGAATTGTCTTCAATGATTAAAATTACCTGATGACTCACTTTCAGCTCATTCTTTTTACATTAAGGTAGCCTCATAACTATGTTATTCTTTAGGACATGCTCACCTCCCTTATCTTTTCAAGATTGGTTAAAGAATATTGATGCTGAATACTCAACCTCTTGCTAAGGGACATGTCAATTAAACAGACGTCTGACCTATACTGACAGTTTCTCTACTGTGCCACTCTCCTGTCCTGTTTAATGCTGTACTGTAGCTCTCAAATGGTGTCCAGAGGTATGGTCACTTATTGATTGAGCTAAGCAGCGCCTTGCTCAAATCTAACACCAATAGCACCAATAGTACCTGTGAGGCACAGAACCAGCTGTTTGCGCTGGGGTTCGGGAACTATAGGGATGGGCAGCTCCCGAAGGAAGAGTTTGAGGAGCGAGGCCACAGTGGGGACGTCCTCCTGCAGCTCTAGGTCCACCCTCTCTCCCCGGTCCCACCGCTGCCTCAGCTGCCTGGTCCGCACCACCGAGCCACACAGACGGAACAGACCTCTGTGGTGCATTCCTGTGATGAAATAGATTCAGGTAAGACACATACAGGCGATGTTTGAGTATTGTTTTGAGTTGGGAGAGTGAGAGAAAGAAAGAGGGATGGAAGACAGAAGAGAGATGTATAGGATAATGACATGAAACAAAGAACTGCAGAGGTGTCACGGAACAAAAAAAGCAAGGATGTGCCTAAATTACCATTCTTATCCAGGAACTCCACCATGTCTCTTAGCACAAGAGGTATTCCACAGACCATCTGCCTGTCCTCCCTCAGTGTTTCCAGAGAAACACCAAACACACACCTGGTGGCCAGTTCAGGCTCTGAAACCAGAGTGGGAGCAGTGGGTTCTGGGCTGACCTTAGCAGTGGTCCTCAGGATTCTCACTGAAGACGGGTCGCTCTGCATGGAAAGAGGACATGCAGCAGAAATCTAATAGTTCCATCCTTAAATCACATTCCTGGATGAAACAACATATGGCTAACGTTAACTAAATTATAGCCGGGCTCAAACATTATATTCCCATGTCATAACAACAGTTGGCTGTCTTTTTGCTCTGGCTAATATTAGCAGTAATGAATTTTGCAATCAGCTCGAAAACACCGAAGAATGTAAAAGGATAGCAACTACCCGCAGCTTCACTTACACAGAGCGACACTGAAGCGCTTGCTCCCATTTTTCAGCTCATCGGACCGGCACAGCTCTCCATTTTTATACGTATCTTTCCCGTCCTCGACATGATGCTCCGCTCTCAGACTACCAGAAAGTCCGACGCATGAGGAGAAATTACTGCCATCGCCATCACATCTCACAAGCTTACAATAAGTGAAACATACTGTTGTTAACAAGGAGAAGGCTTAGCTTACTTTACCGCCAGTAACACTAGCTCCCCGGACGTGTTTATGTTGCTAGTCATGTGACACAAGTGTAACCATGATGAAGCGTTGCCAGGAGAAGCAGACCTGCTCGGGATGACTTTATTTTATCTGTAAAGTGTTGAAACTATTCGCATCCTCATTCCCCCAGCCAGCAGTGTGATAAGTTTCCCGATAGAGGAGCTAAAGGTGACAGTCAAATAGGCTATTTTCCCAACTTTACTCATATCACAATGAAACTTTTTGTTTCTTATTTTTAATATGCAAATGAGGTATTTCCTCATTAAATATTCCAAATGGCCAGACATTTATAGAAAGGTTTATCAAAATATATTTTCTTCATGGATTTATTCAAAATATACCAGTCATGTGTGTGACAGACCCTTTCCCCCCACAGATTTACAGATAAAATACCACATAAAATGAGAATGATAAAATACATATTTAAACTTCTTTTTTTTTTTTTTTTTTAACTCTGTAAGTCTTCCTAGAAGAACTAAGAAACAGTGCGTACAATAATGATGACTGCCTTGCAGGGTGAGGAAAATGACTTGGCGACCAGGAAACATGTAATTTTGAGAAAATTGCTGTGAAAGATTAGCTAAGGCAATAGAAACACACTAAAAATTACTGTTTGCCACATGAATACATCTCTTAAGGATATATGGTAGGCTGTATTAACTATAGCATACATTGAGCTATAGAAAACAAATGATGATTCACGCGTTTTAATAGTAGACCAGTAGACCAATAGACCAGTTGAATGAACTTTTACATGGAAAACAATCAATGGTAACAAACAATCTGCGGTTAATGGACTTAGTATAATATAGACAAATAATAATGGTTATATATATTATTCAGATTGTTTTGTACATTTCATGTAAGTACAAAACTGTTTTGGAAGTTCAAAATCCATTGTAAACACGTTATGTTAAATCCAAATCCAAATGTCTTTTATTGGCACTTTTAAAATAAAATAATAGCAGAAATACATAAATAGTATAATACTGGCATTAAAAATAAGAGTAAAAAGTGACAACCAAACATACCTTCTAGGTCAGGACTAATTGCACCTCATCACCTTGTAAATACCCTCTACAAACACAAAAAGCAAACAGTAATGTCCCAGATGTATCCTTACGCCTGAAACTGGAACTATCAAAAATACATCTGTAGTGGTATTTTTAACATTCAAGTGATTCTTAAAAGCCTATTGCAATGTATTCATTACAATTATAATCACAATAATCAACTTCAAACCTCAAACTATTTTTTACAGCTCTATGGTTGGTTTTGTGCATATAAAAGTTACTAGCACATAGGACTTTACAAACTAGTGCTAATACAAAAGTATGTGAACATGCGTGTGTAGGTACATACACACACAACATACACACAAACATATACACACACAACATGATGAAAAAGGACCAGCCCGGTCATGATAGTCATGCCACGAAGAGAATCAACATGCTGTTAATGTCGGAAATACTGTAGCATCTCAAGTGTTCTTACATGTTTTTGAATCAGCATAACTTATTCAAAAAGTGTTTGTGATCCAGAAACAGGAGGTATGTGAAACTCAAACTCATTTTTAAAAAAAGTATAAACTGAATCAATGCACTTGAAAACAAACATTATCTATAAAGCAAGGCTTTTGTATTTTTCCAACAGGCATAATGTGTTGACAGGCATTGACTATCATTAATGCTTTGGTAAGATACATAGTGGTGTAGTGTATATATATATATATATATATATATATATATATATATATAAACCAAAAAATACAAAATAAAAATGTTGCTAAAATTACAATTATCAAAAAGGGCCCCCTCCTTCAGTCCAATCCCTGTGAGATTCCAGGGAGTGTTTTTGTGCATCTATAGTGGTTTCAGATGTTTTTGTTCCCAGTGTTATGAACGGCACGGTTTCAGAGCTACAGCGAAGTGAAAATCAGTTTACATAAACACAATGTCAAATTGGGGAGTTGAACAATATTGTTCAGTTGACCTCGAAAAATGAGGTAATAATTTAAAAAATCAACACAGAGTCTAACCTTTAAAAAAGATCTGCAATATATGGTTTGAACCTGAGCAATGCAGGCAAAGTACAGAAAGGCCTGTATTTCAAAACCTCTGGCAAGTATTTTGGTATATTAGAACTTGGCAGCAGAAATAAGGTGGGGAGGACCCCTATATTGTCGAGAAAAAAAAAGAAAAATCGTTATAGAGGTGGTTCACATACAGTTAATCAGTGGACAGATACTGGACAGTAGGGGTGAGCTCTGAGTCCTTATGAAATGTACTCATTTTCAGGCTACAGAGGCAACTTTGTCACAGTTGCTGGTGTAATGGACATCTGGTCTGTCATTCTCGGAGTGTTTCCTATTCCAGCAGGGAAGGGTGAGCAGAAAGAGAATTAAGGCTCCCAGCACCACACAGGTTCCACTAAAGTAGAACGCCAGGTCATATGACTGCGTCCAGTCAAAGAACCACCCTGGAAAGTGATGAGAAAAAGACATTGTGAGCAGTCAGCAGGGATTCCTGGCAGGTACAGCAGTCAGCGAAATAATGACAAGCTGACCCCTTATTGCAGTCGACATGTCCTCTGCCTTGCACTACCTGCCTGCCTGATTTAACATTTTGATTTTTGAAATGTCTCTGAAAACATGACCTTACAACAGGGTTTATCTCTAACTAATAATTGCCAGTGTAGAAATGCTTACAAATTTAGATAAAGACAAGCTCTCCTACCTACAACAGGGGGTCCAAGCATGATCCCAAATCCCCCGAAGAACATGAGGATGCCGTGGGCTTGCGTCAGTCTGTCCAAGCCGACAATCTTAGTAGTAATGTAGGAGGTGAGAGACCAGTTTCCAGAGAAGAAACCCAGGATGACAGAAAGGATCTGTAGTCCCATATACGTCTTAGTGATAGGGATAAGGAGCAGGGCCACACCTCCTGCAAACATGGTGAAGGCATACAAATAGATGCTGTTGATCCACCTGATGTCCACCAGGATACCCAGAACTAGTTTACCCACGCAAGTGGCAATGGCCCCTATTGATACCAAAGGAATGACACTAACTTCTTCAATGAGTCCTTGACTCTGTGCCACATCCTCAATAAAGAGTACAGGAGGGAACGCCCCAAGGCTGAACAGGAACACACCAATACAGAAGGCCACCATGGCTTGGTCCTGCAGGATCTCATGCATGGAGTGCATGTACTTGGAGTATGCCTGCTGCTTCTTCTTGATGACTTTCATGATGGCCAACCCAGCCAAGAAGCCGTGTTTCTTCTTCTCTGTCTGAATGGCCAAGTCCTTGGTATCAATGGTGATAAGCAACTCCTTCGCCGTCAGAGATTTCTCTGGAGTGGTTGTGGGGGAACCTGTTGTGATCTTCAGGTCATCCAATGGGGGCTTCTCAAAAAGATGCTCCTCCGTGTTGCGTTCCAGGGCGGCTTTTTGTTTGAGGTAGTACCCTGGCATGTTAAGGGGCCTCATGAAGCCGGCGCAGGCCATGAGGTTTAGTGCTACAGCTCCGATGATTAGCAGGCAGCCATCCAGGCCGTACAACACAATCAGCTCGTTCTGAGCGCTGGCATAGATGAAGGCTCCAACACTTGTGCCTGAATGAGCAGAGCAAGACAGAAACTCAGTCAATGTAAGAAAGTGACAGATCAAAATAAAAATTAAAACCACTATGTGTAAAACGTTTTGTCAGTATAGAGCCTTTCAAATTACTCATCTGGCACGAGTTTTTATTTGGAGAAAAATTAGACAATCTTGAAACTGGAGTTGATGTGAGCCTTTAGCTCATTCATCTCTGTGTTGCCATGTTGAATATATCTTTTTTGATACTGCCACTGGGGGGCGCCAAAGTCAGAACATTTCAGATTCTACATGGTGGCTTTAATAACTTTAACTTTAAGTCTGTTTCACCTCTGACCACAGCAAGCATCAGTGATGGGTGTGGTTGAGTGTGGTCAGAAGTTGGGTCTGTTGCACTAGTAACCTGGAGTACATTTAAATCCATGATTTAAACTTCAATAAACTTTGGGTGCTACAAATAACTCTTCTCATTAAAGGCAATTATGTCAAATATAGTTCAAAGTCAACCTTCTCAAACAATTCTCATTCAAGTTTTGATTCCCAGCCAAACCAGATCTAGTCACTGTCCCTACTGCAATACCTGTGGTGACAATGCCGAGAGCAAGGCCACGTCTCTTGTCAAAATACTGACAGGTGATTGTCAACGTGGCTGCATAGACCAGACCACAACCCAGGCCTATAGTTGGAGAGAGGACAAGAAGAGGACAGAAGAAGAATTTCCATTAGCTCGGGTGAAAGATGCAAAAAACAATAAATATGTATATTAGCGTACTACTTTGCAGTTTTGGTCATACAAGACTACAGAACAACAATGTGGTCAGTGTTTCTCAGTGGATAAACACAAGAAATCATTACACATATGTATTTACAAGTATATGCATAAGTATGTGCAACATAATTAGCAAAACATAAAGGAAGTAAACAATAAGCAATAAACAAGCTGCATGTGCATGTACAGCCAAAGCCACAGTCATCATCTAAGGGCATCTCTAAAAATAAATGACTGTCTTCAAATATGCATGGCCTCCTCTCTCCAGTACTGCCTGTGCAAAAGGCAGTGCTGGCTGTGGAGGGTTTACCAGGATTAAACACGGCTGGGCTGTCACTTAATGTGTGATAACAGGTGGTGCTGGGCCAATGCAGGCACAATGGTGGGGGTGCTGAGGTAATAAAGGGTCACATGGGAATCAGGCTACACCACAATGTTATTTTTCTGTCAACATCTTATAAAAAATAAATACATAAAGCAATGTCAAACGTTTATCTTGTCTTGGTGTGATTCTACATACTTTAACTGGCAATGGTATTCATTAACTGGTCATTTATGATATAGTCAGCCTCTCATGTTGCGTAATAGTTGGACTTGACATATGCCCCTGCTTGTTTCAAATGATTAAACAATGTGTTACAAGATTCTCATATGTTAGAGGGATAAGAAGCTTAGTTAACTCCCATGACCACAGCAACATCAAACACATTTTTTTCTCCCAACCCTCTTTGCAGGCTTATCTCTGATAAAGTACTGTATAACACGTAGAAGGATGTCTTCCAAGGTAGCGATGCACCTGACACCAATCCCAATACCTGGGCTTTGGGTATTGGCCATTGCCAAGTACTGATCTGAAACCAGTGTAAAATGAATAAGCTGTATTCCCCACTGTGAGGAAGATACTGTGAATCATTATTTTATGTGTAAGGCAACATCTGGGCTTGACTTAAGCATTGCTTCCTAACTTAAAACAAAATGCTATGTTGCATAATTGAACTGAATAGATCCAGCTATTTGAGTAAGTATCGGGCAGATATACAATATCAGTATCAAATCGGTGCATCTCTACCCTAATGTTATGTTCACTTACCAACCACAATCCCATAGGAAAAGATGAGGAACTGGACATTGGGAGCAAAGGCACTGAGCATCAGGCCGCCTGCCACCATTACGCCACTGAAGATGGTCACTGGACGAGCCCCAAAGTTGTCCACACAGGCACTGCAGACAGGGCCTGAGGGGAAGAGAAAAGAGACAGAGACAGTCAAGGAGTGGAAGAGATACAAAGAGGGAAAAGGTGAGTAACTGAGGAACAAAAATATTCTGGGAACAAAGGATAACAATGATAGTGTGCTGCTTAATGTGTTATAATCTGGATAACAAACAAGAGTTTCTGAGAAAATCAAACCCCATCTCACAAAGCACTGCTGCGACTGACCATGACACTGCCACACCACATTAGGGTCAAACTGGCAACCTGTCAGAGGTGTTCACACAAGAGACTCTTGAGAGGTCCAATGTTAACATGTTACTTTAACATTTTACACAAACCAATCAGATTCATAGTTCAACTCCTCAATATCTAGTTTCCTCTTCCACTTTAATTAGATTTACGGTTTGGAAAATCTACTTATCCCTCACTGCCTGACAGTATCACATATATATTTATAATCTTTTTCCACCTCTTCCCTAGAGCTACATGATACATACTGAAGAGTGCAATACTGAAACCCAAGACGAGATGTTTCGTTCAAGGCTTGCTGAATACTCCCATATCCCGAGGTTGCTTGACTCATTCATCATGTGACATTTACTGTTTCCTTCCCCTCTAAGCCAAGGAAAGACCCCGTTGTTGTGCAGCAGGAACTGCAGTACTGCTGTCTGACAGCTGGGACATGCGTCCAGGACTTGGCCAGGCCTGAGGCCAGATCTGTCCGGTCGGGATTTTCACCTCACCCCTTTGAGAAAGACGACAGCAAGAAGCCAGGCTGGAGGGGGAGCTCTGCCTTAGACATAAATGTCAACCAAGACCACTATTGATCACTGATCCTGTTTGCTCAACACAGCCGTGGGGCATGCCTCTCTAATAATTCCCAGACATTACTGAAAGGTTACTGAGTTAGAATGTTTTTCTTGGTTTGTTTCTCTTAACATGTCATTCTTACATTCACACGGCAGCTTTTACCATGTTGTCACATTTTCGGACACTTCTCTTTATCTCTTTTCCTTTAGGTTTGGGTTCAAGTAAGTTTATATACACAGCCTTGCGCAGCAAACACAAGTGTTTGCGTTTCTCTCCCCATCTGTCTCTCAATCTGTCTTTCTTTTCCTCCCTCAGTGGTTAGATTAAGAGCTAAGTGATCCTCCTACATTCATGGCATGGATGACTTGCACTTATTTTGCTCTCCTAGAAAATCAATGACGGCAACTCTGCTCAGGGAGCCACAAAGTGCCCATTTTTAGGGCCCAAGTACGAAACGTCCGAGATCCCTATTGAAACTGAAGGGATTATTTTTTCTTTCTTTCTTTCTTTCTTTGCAGAGTAACCCCAAGTTTTGCACATAATTCAGGCGCGCCGAAAAATTTCGTATTTTATGGGTTTCGCGCAGGGGCGTGGCAGAATGGCCCCCTACAGAGCAGCCCCTGGGTAAAGTTTCACCTACATGTACGAAATTTCTGTGGTACGTGTATCGTGTCCAGACGTACAAAAAAGCCTCTTGGAGCCATTTCCTAAACCCAACAGGACTAGATTTAATGGTAATTTTTGGCGATTTACTCCTCCTAGGGATTTAGTCCGCTTGACTTCAAACCCATTGACGATTAAACGTTGTACAAACGGTGACTTTTTGTGGAATGGCGTGCCCGTGGCGTGGTGTCCAAAATCGATAATTCGCCATAAAAAAGGAAGTTGTTGTAACTTCAGTCTACATGCTCACACCTGCAACAAATTTGGGATGCATTATCACGCCCTGAACACATCCACGTGCCAATAGTCACTGAAAGTCAAAGCGCCACCTGCTGGCAACAGGAAATGACACGTTTTATGTTGTAACGTACTACTCCTAGCAGGTTGGACATACTGTATCAACTTCAAAACTGTCCCAGAAAACCATTAACACATTGAGCCATGTTGTAAAACTTGTGAGTTTGCAATTAATGGCATGGTGGTGGCGGTGAAGTTAAACTCTTCACTATGACACAGGAAGTTGTTATAACTTGACTGTACATGCTCAGATCTGTGCCAAATTTTACACATTTAATAAGAGTCCTGCCCTGAACACATGTACATGCCAACATTATTAAATGCGATTATTAAAAGTTGTACAAACGGTGAGTTTTCGTGAAACGGCGTGCCCGTGGCGTGGCATCCAAAATCAATGATTTGCCATGAAAGAGGAAGTTGTTGTAACTTCAGTGTACATGCTCATATTTGCACCAAACTTTACGTGCTTGATAACAGTCACGCCCCAAACATATGCCAATATTTAGTTATAGTCATAGCGCCAAGTGCTATGTAGCGACACAAAGGGGTCACAGGAAGTGATGATTAACACTGTGCAGCGTATGAAGTGAGTGGCAAATTCACAGCCGCACCGGCAGAGCTCCAGAATCTGCAACGCGGCCGCCTCACACCTCGATGCATTACACGTGCGAGGACCTGCTCAACGCTGCTTGCGGCTTTAATTGTCACTGCATTGCCTTTTCTCTCCATGCTGTTGACACATGACAATAAGGTGAGCTCTTTAACACTTGTTGCTCTAGTAAACATATCCTTGATGGCAGTTTGTATTGCCCCCTTTGAGGTAGTACATGGAGTCATTGTACAGACTTTGAACAAGAATTAGGTCTGCTTTGCTATCAGCGGCATAATGTGGTATGATCATTGAGAAGGAAATTGTAGGATAGGTGTAAAGGTGAGTGATAAGTTCTCTAACACTAAGCAGATATCTCTACCTCAATCACACAATCACATGTCAGCAAATATCCTCAGCAAAAAAGAGATGTCCTCTCACTTACAACTGTTTTTATTGTCAGGAAACTTAACATGTGTTAATATTTGTATGAACATAAAAAGATTCAACAACTAAGACATAAACTGAGCAAGGTTGGGGAAAATGTGTCTCTGAACTAAGAGGGGGTCAAAATCAAAAGTAATAATCAGTATCTGGTGTGGCCCTGTAGTCCTGTGCAGGCATTGTCACATTTGGTCTGCCACTGTGAGGACGATCAGCTGTCCTTCCTGTCTCCCTGTTGTGCTTTCTAAGGCATCTCACAGTACAGACATTGCAATTTATTGCCCTGGCAACATCGGCAGTCCTTGTTCCTCCTTGTTGCACGCCTAAGGCACGTTCACGTAGATGAGCAGGGACCCTGTGCATCTTTCTTTTGGTGTTTTTCAGAGTCAGTAGAGAGGTCTCTTTAGTGTTCTTAGTTTTTATAACTGTGACCTTAATTGCCTACCATCTGTACGCTGTCAGTGTCTCAACGACTATTCAACAGGTGCATGTTAATAGATTGTTTATGGTTCATTGAACAAGCATGAAAAACACTGTTTACACCCTTTACAATAAAGATCTGTAAAGTTAAGTTATTTGCTTTTTTACAGAATTATCTTTAAAATAAAATACAGTGTCCTGAAAAAGGGGTGTTTCTTTTTTTTTTTGCTGAGTTTATATTGCCCATAATGATATTTAGTGCCTAAACATCAATGTAGCTACAGCTCAGCATAGAATGATCAGATGCTAAAAACAATAATCTGAAGGGAAAAAGTGCTAAAGGATTACACACATCTTTCGCCATTTGCATCTATCTATCTAAAAAGCTGCTCAAACATGACTCCAAAACTTGATCCATCTCGTTAATAAACTTGGCTCTTTTACCCCAATGTGGACCCATGCAAAGGATTATTACAATATTACAGTGTACGCTACTCACTGGCAATTAGTCCTACTCCAGCCACAAGGGAGCCCACCCAGGCTGTCATGCCCTTGCCCTCCTGGAAGGCATGCAGCCACTCGGGGTACAGGACACCCACCGACTGGGGTGATCCGTAGGCCAGGAGCTGGGCCATGAAGGAGGCCAAAACAATTGCCCATCCCCAGCAGCCTCCGTCCAGCACTTTAGTAGATGGAGCCATGGTGCCGATGTTACTGCTACCCTCTGAGATCTGCTACAGCTCTGAGAGGGGAGGGGTTCCTGGGAGGGACAAAACAGGTCACCTGTGTGAGGTTCTCAACACTGACTGACTGCAACTTGCCCATACGCAACTGCCCCTTTTGTTTCTGTCTCTATAACCACACCTTGGAGGAGGAGAAAGTAAAGAAAACTGCACTGCTTTGTGCGCCCCCCCCCCCCCCCCCCCCCCCCCCCCCACACACACACACCTTTAACCTGTTTCTTCCATGATTCAGCTCTGATCCTTAAAAGACAAATGGGAGGCTTGTCTCCTGTGCTGACCCAGGTTTCTCACTCCTCTATTAGTAATAACTTGAGCCCAGAGCAACTTTATACACCACTGCAGGAACAATGGCCACACTTTTTACAATGAGGCAATCTTGTGTGGGAGGAAAAGTTGGTGCAAAGCTCATCAGATTTCTTTGCTTACAAAGCAGGCTTACAGCATTTTACTTGACAGTAAATATGCTTCTTTTTCATTAAAATCTACAACAATATCATCGAAAATCATTATGTGACCATGCTAATTATTGATTAAGATATCTATTTTCACCAACACGTTATCTTCAGTACAAGCACAGGTACATTGTGCATATTATTTTGGTAAAAACAAGCGGCACTCACCTCAGCATCTACAGAAACAGCAGCAGGACCCTGCAGAGCTCCGCGTTCTACAGCAACTTCCCATGTAGGGTGTTTTTCTTTTTAATATCCCTTTTTACAGAATCATTACAAATGACTCGCACATGGACTCCTCGCCTGTCTAAGCTGGAATCTTTGATGCCAGTGTGTTAAGAGACACTCTGCATCAAGAATGAGTATAGTGCATCCGTTTCATACTGCTTTGTAACCGGCGACAAAACCGGTTCAAAGCTGTTTTTGCTGGTCCAGCCGCAGCAGCAGCAGCTCACACTGGAGGAAGAGCGCTTCCTGGAGCGCACAGCAGAGAACAGAGAGTCTCACCGCTCGGAGGTGTGAAGGCTTATGGGTCATACTGCATACTTTTCCAGATCTGAAATCATATTTTATGTCGCAATTGAAAAAGAATAATGATTATAAATAATAATTAACGTTAGAAATATTACTCACTCTGCTGTATCTAAGGGTAATTGTGCCTGGTTCGTGTGTCTTCACAGACCCATCCTTACCTGGGAATATTATGGGCTACTTCCAGGAACATTGTTGTTTTTCCCGTCACTCCAGTCTCAACTGGTTGATGGATGGGGGTATGAATACAACACAGCACCAGTAGGGCGCACTGCATGGAGTCTTTCTGGTGAGCACTAATTAAAACGATACAGGCACAAAACTCTTGAATGAAATCATAAATGTCCTTCCAATCGTCACAAAATAACAGGATACTCAGTAGACAGTCATGCAGATAGCCAGCCATGCAGCTATTTAAACATAGCCTTAAGAGAATCTTACACAGCCAGATAGATGACAATAGGGTATGCTTAGTGTTTTAGTAATACAGACAGTGCATCCATGAATATTACAGGAATACTTCCGTAGCCTACGAATAGTAGGCCTACGTTAATACTAGCAGTGTTGGGCAGTAACGTTAGCGTCGCTACAAGTAGCCGTTACTAGTTTAACTACATTTCTCAGTAGCTTGGTGGTAGCGTCACTGCGGTAACGTGAGCCGCCGAATGCGAAACCTTGGTCAAGCCAGCCGCCGTCTGATTTCTGTTGCGCCTAAAGCAGTGTTATTATGGTAAGGACGAGGTGCGAGTGAGCCGAAGGTCCTGAAAGATACATACGCGTTTTTTTGTTATGCTAGTGATTATAAGAACACAAAAACATACAACAGACAACAGAAATATAATATTACTAATAACAATAATGACAAAATAACTATACCACCTATGAGATATTGCACTCTAAAAAACCCAACAGTAAAATGTAAACATGTTAACATTTTCTGTTAACTTTGACCTTTCACCAAAACAGTTCCTTAATAGGTGACACCACCTATTTCATATCTTCTACTTCCTAGTGTCTTCTACTATTACTGGTACATATATCATAACATTTTACTGTACCAACTGTGAGAAATGACACTATAAAAACCCTCCATCAGCGAAAATAAACACCTAGGTGACATCACGGTTTTCATATCTTCTCCTTCCTAGTGTTCAGTAGTATCACTGGTACAAATATTATAAGGTTTTACTGTACCAACTGTGAGATATTGGTGTGGTGGTGTCACCTATTAAGGAAATGTTTTGGTCAAAGTTCACAGCTATGTTAAGTGTCTATTTAGTTTTCACTGTTGGAGGGGTTTTTAGAATGTAATTTCTCCAATTTGGTACAGTAAAATGTTATTATATATGTACCAGTGATGGTAGAGGACACTATGAAGCAGAAGATTTGAAATTGCTGGTGTCACCTATTAAGGAACTGTTTTGGTCCAAGGTCAAATTTCAGAGGTATGTTAACTGTCTATTTAGTTTTTGCTGTTGGAGAGGTTTTTAGAGGGCAATTTCTCCAAGTTGGTACAGTAAAATGTTATGATATATGTACCAGTAATAGTACAGGACACTAGGAAGGAGATGATATGACAAGGATGAGGTCACCTATTAAGGAACTGTTTTGGTAAAAGGTCAAAGTTCACAGAAATTATAATTGTCTGTTGAATTTTCGCTGTTGGAGGGATTTTTAGAGTGCAATATCTCATAGGTGGTAAAGTAAAACCGTATGATATTTGTACCAGTGATAGTAGAGGACACTAGTAAGGAGATGCCATGACAATGCTGAACTAACTGCTGAGCAATTACGCTGGTGAAAGGTCAAATTTCATATAAATTATGTTCACAAAATAACAAAGAAAAGGTAGTTTTTGCATTTGCATCAGTAACAAATGATAATAAATTATACTACTATTATCATTATTGTTATTAGTAATATTATTATATTTATGTTGTATGTATTTGTGTTCATATAATCACTAAGAGCATCACATAAAAAACGCGTATGTATCTTTCAGGATCTTCGGCTCACTCGCACCTCATCCTTACCATAATAACGGTCCTTTAGCCGCAACAGAAATCAGACGGCGGCTGACCTGACCATGGGTTTTGCGTTCGGCGGCTCGCGTTATCGCAGTGCCGCTATTCTCTGAATCAAATAGCTTTTCAGTAACGAAGCTCTTTTATTGACCGAGTAGCGTGGTAGCTTCCACACACGCTACATTTTCCCAAGCATGTCTGAAGAATCACAAAGTGACGCCACCGCCACACACGGACCTGTATATACGCAGCTCGCAGAAGCGCTTCCGTGTGACGGTGACATCACGTACCGATCGTTGTGCTGATGTCTGCGACTTTGCTGCAGGGGAATAAGGACACGCGCGATTTAATTTACTTTCTATTGTGATAGTTATTGTAACACCTCTTGTGAGAAGGATCAGGGTCCAGCCTGGACAGCTCTTCCTCTAGTGAGGAGGAAACTTTGATATGTATTTCCATGAAGTGAGATCTCTCTCTGTCAGTTCAATTCAATTCAATTCAAATTAGCTTTATTGGCATGAATGTATAACAACAATATAGCCAAAGCATCATACAAACTACATAAGAACAATCAACCCCATACATTTCATTAAACAAGTAGCATAAAGTAATTAAAGCGTATGTGTGTAATGTGTGTGTTAGAAAAATTAAAATATATTAAAAATGATAATAAAATAACTAAATAAAACAGTAAGCATGCGTGTGTGTTAAAAAAATTCAAATATATTAAGATTTTACATTAAATAAATAAATAAGTTCTCTTTCTGGCCTATTGCCATGAATGTTTAGGTTGCAATGTTGCCAAAGCACAAATTCACATATATAAACAATAACAAATATAGAATGAATTAATAATGTGATAATTAAGTTACTTTATATATACAACAATGGTTCTCGGTTTGTTGCATGAGGAAATACATTTAGCTGCAATGATATGGCAGAAAGTAGGAGAGTTTCTGTGTGTCTGATTTAGCTCTTTCTCTCTCACACACACACCGTTTGGAGCAGGTAGTCTTTCTTCTATTGCTACTGTGGAATTAAGTTAGTTCAATATAAACTAGGCCTTTACTCTGTGTGTGTGTGTGTGTGTGTGTGTGTGTGTGTGTGTGTGTGTGTGTGTGTGTGTGTGTGTGTAAAAAAAATTTAAAGTAGCTTTGATGTAACTAAGCTACGTTTGCCACGTGTCTGAAGCTTAGCTTGCTACATTTCACTAGGGGGTAACTTCTGTGTAGTGAAGCTTCATTAAATGCAGAGTAGCTAGTAGCATTTTCCAAGTAGCTTGCCCAACACTGAATACTAGTGGTAAAATAAAATAGATATAGCCGATGAAACAGGTGTGAATTATCCCCCTATAACCTGTCAGAATAGCTTGAATTCATTTAGGCTATATTGCTCAACTCTCTAATTACATTTCTAAATTGGTACATCTTTCTACCCAGAGAAACACACAAGAAAAGAGTTTATTTCATGCGTTCATACTGTGGTGTGAGCAGAGAGAAGAGTTGCTCTTAGTCACACTTCAGCTGCATCGTAAAATTATATCACCATCTGATTGCACCCATTCCCATAACCTCCAGTCAGGAATGCCATTGAACCAGATCAGAATAAACTAAATCAAGGAGTAGAGACTGGAAAGAAAAACTCAAAGAAAAGTGGACATGAAAGATGAAAGGACGGGGAGCAGAGTGAGAATGAAGGAGGGATGAAGAGAGCAGACCAAAGGTGAAACTGGTTTTCACACTGAATGCACCAAATATTCTTTGGGAACTTTGATACTTCATAGCTGAGGGTCTGTTGCCAGAAAGGCTCTTAGAGAAAAGGTTCAGGCTCCATAATCCCCTTCTGCCTGAAATATTAAGTGAAAAAAGAACAAGGGAGGCACAGTTAATTGTACTGCACACTGGCATTAAACTGACATGTTGCCTGACCAGTTTCAACCAGATATTGGGCCTGTGGAGGACAGTGTGAATCTGAGGGAGGGGGGGGGGGAGTGGATTACAGAGTGGCTATGGTACACTGTTAACACTAGTGACTGATCCTAGAATCAATATTGTTGCTGAATTTCTCAAGTTATTCAATACATTTATTGACACATTTCCAGTTTCTGGACCACAAATTCCACTGGGTTAGAAAAGTAGCTGTGGCTCTTAAAACGTAAGGTCAAGGCTTTGTAATCTTGACATGGAAAAGTTAATTTGATTATCTACCCTCCTTTTCAAGTTGCAGTGGTAATGACACCAGAGGCTGGAATTCACTAAAATCTCCACCCTGACACACTAATCTCATTATGTGATCTATTTGATAACTAATCTATGTACAATATCAAAGCTGATAATTCAGCATCTCAGCCCTCATGTGCTCTGACTGAGATAGCACATAGAAAGTCTGCTAGAGAAAATTATTTGGATCTGTTCTTACCTAAATAATTCCTATATCTAAGCTGTCTAAAATCCTAGATTTACCAGTATACTCTCAAGTCTACGTGTTTCTGGAGGTTAATAATGTCTTCCAGCCACAGCAGTCAGGGTTAATACTTGATAAAAAAAGAAACAGTGTGCTGCACTCTGCTAATCTGTCTAAAGTTTTTGATACTGTTTAGCAAAACATTTGATTAGATACGTTGCACATGGCAGGTTTAACTCATAACTTGCTGCCAGAACCCAGAACTGTTCTTGCAGATGTTTTGAAATCAAGCCTCTACAATGATGATGGTGCCCCAAATATTCACTGTATATAGCGATAAATGTAATATTTCTTCACCAACTCCAATTATTCTCCACTCTTATGCGATTGTTAGCTTTTAATGGCTCTGCCACAAATCAATAACATGTAAAACCACACATAAAAGCTTGAAAGCCAACGGTCTATGTGACAGAAAACCATGTGGCATAAACACATGTGCAGTGGTACCAGCTGTTTGATATTCCTCATAATTTGGCTTCCAAAATATCAAACAAAGGTTTGGTCTTTCTGTATGTGTAATGTGCCATCTCAATATTTATTGTCAAGATGACATTATTATGAGCATAGTCCCATCAAGACATATTTATCACTTCTGGCCTAGCTGCAGATCTCACATTACTTATCCAGAGCCCATTAGTAAATACACACTCACAAATTTCTCAGCAGTTTTACATAAGCTGACCTGATACCTTTTCTCTGGCACTTTTGTGACACCTGAGAAACAGCAGCCTGCTGTTCTATTCCGTAAGAGGCCTGACAGGTGGTAAAATACAGAGCCACCCTGCAGTCTGGATAAATGTCTCTTGGTTC